CTGCTGTTGTAAAAACAGGAGAAATCTGTGACAGTAAGATGAGATGTTTCTAAAACATGAAACTGTCAGTTGCTTTAAAACAGGTCATTATCCCTTTTAAGGTGCAGATGTTGCTGAGGCCACTTAGGCCTGGTCTACGCTATGTGGGGGATCGATCTAACTTACGCAACTTCAGCTACGTCAATAACGTAGCTGAAGTCAACGTACTTAGATTGACTTACTGTGGTGTCTTCACCGTGGTGAGTTGACTGCTGTTGCTCTCCCGTCGACTCTGCCTGCGCCTCTCGCGGCGGTGGAGTATAGGAGTCGACGGGAGAGTGCTCGGAGGTAGATTTATTGTGTCTAGACTAGACACGATAAATCAACCCCCCGCTGGATCGATTGCTGCCCACCGATCCGGCAGGTAGTGTAAACATACCCTTAGAGACACTTCCAGGGGGCCTGACAATGCTGTGTCTGAATTAGAGTGTCTAAGCAGAGGTCGACAGTTGCTGAAACTGATGACACAAGTAGCAATACACTTCTGATTTGTGAAAGCAAGAGTTTCTCCTAGGAGGGGGTGAAAGAACCTCTCCCTTAATTTCTGGGACTAGAAGGAACTTTGGGTTACTGAAGCCAAAGGTTACTGAAGGCCTGAAACCAAAGTTCAATAATCTGGGACTGTTCAGACTGTGCTTCTTTGAAGCAAAGGATAACCCAGTTTATTGACTGTTGATTGGTTGAGTCTCTAGGAAGCCTACAGAGGTGTTGTCTGACATGCCTCTGTCATAGAGGGTCAAATAGTATTCAGATACACAAGAGACTCCACTTTCCCTCTATTTGGCTCTGGCATAAATTGGATCAAATTGTGATTCCTTAGACTGCAACTAGCTCTTGTATTGGTGTAAAAGGGACAAAGTCACAAGGAGACTCTCTCCACTCCATCTAGGGGCCAGTGACATTTGTAGTCCTTCCTAGACTCTCTGGGGTTCAAGCCACCCAAATGATTGTGGGAAGCAGTGGGGCCATGGCCCCCTCACACTCCTCACTGGATAGCAATGTTGGCTAGCACCAAAGAGAGAAGTGCTTTACCATAGAGCTCTTGGAGGAGCTGTGCCTTGCTGAGGCAGCATACTTGGGCAGTTGGGCTGCACCCCATCTTCAGCTCAGATCTGCATAGCGTGGCTGCTTAACAACATTAGCTGGGATTGTCAAAGGAGCTGAAATGAGCTAGTCACCCAATAGCCCCCTTTGAAAAAGCCCAGCTCTTGTCAAGTTTGTTTTAAGATTGACTCTTCAGGGTCAAAAACCATTGTACATTTGAACAATGTGTACATTAGCTTGAGGAAATCAATACAGAAATGATGATCAAATACAATAATTTCTCCTTTTGTTTATTTTTCCCAATGTTTAAAAAAAAATCATCTTTTACAGCACAATGCTCTTTCTCATGGCAGATATGCCTATACATTAGCATCGTGCTTTCTGATAATAGTTTACATGTTGAGAAAGAGAGAAGTGAAGAAGCGAAACTGTACATTGACACTGTCAGTTTTTCATTTGTCTGTTCGGTTTTTTTTAATTTGACATTTATACAAAAAATAGTATCTTGATTAGCAGCTTGACTGGCAACCCCACAAAACCCTAAATAATACTTTGAAAGAATTCACTTTTACAGACACGGTAGATAAAACAATATATACAATTTTAACAAATACATACATAAATACAGCCATTCACATATAATGATACACCTAAAGTTCAGTTGCTATCAACACGCTTTTCTAATTAATTACTTCCTTCATTTATAAATTGCCCTTGCCTTCTATGTTTAAAAAAAAATCCCCATAAAGAATCAATATCTGCACTGAATCTAAATATTAGGAAAGATGGAAAATGAATCTTGAGTACTCATTGAAGAATTCCCAAGTCATCTGACAGGAAAAGCTACAGTGAAAAATTCCTCCAAAAGAGACATTTCCCACCTCCCCTTCCCCCTCTCCCCCCACAGCTTCTTGGTACCATGTGCTTTGTTCAGCTACAATTCAATCAAAACCAAATATGACTGTATTCATATTTTGATTAAAGTGATTTAAAAATCCAGCACTCTTAAATTGTCAAAACAAAATCACCTTTAACACAAATATTTGTTTTGATTAAAGGGGGCCCAATGCAAACATTGCTTGTTGCTATTTAACCTTATTCAGTCCAACACAAACTCTTTTGGGTTAGAGGGACAGTGTGCTGGTTTTAGGACCATACATATCCCTTTCCAGATGTGGTTTGCATATTCTATTTTTTGAGTGATGAGAAAATACTAAATCCATATCATGGTCGTAAAAAGCTACAGTACAGTATCAGAAAATTAATAAAAATAGAAAATTAGTTCATGTTTTATTTCACCTGACATAAAAAAGTCTTGTATATTCAAAAATTAGGGCACACATGCTTAAGGCTCTTGAAGCACTGGACAAACATAATGCCTAACCCAGCTCCATGCATAACAGAATATTACATTGCAAGCAGACTCTACACAGCTGAATACAGAAGAAAATGCCTTCAAAATATATGTACGAGTTCCATGATGAATATTTACATTTCTGTTGAAAAACTATTTATTTATAAACACCAGGAAATAGTATTTTCAAGATGTACTTGCTAATCATTAATGCAATTTTTAGGCTGTCTGAGGCAGTTTGCTCATAAAGGAGTAAATTCAAGGCCCTCCAAGCTCAAGCCCTGTGATGATGGGAATAGGAGCCCTGTGACCCTCATGGGCTACAGAGGGGTGGTCTCTCTGCTTCCCCCAAATAGGCTCAGCAGAGTGTGAATGGCTGGAGGTGAGTTCACAGGATTTATGAGTTTTTGGATCCAATATCCACACACAGTGTGCGAAGATACAGCAGAGGCTATTCCAGCTTATTGGTTGGAACAGTTACAGTAAGTGTTCATGGAGAGACTGCATTGCAGTCTGTGGTTTACCCATGAGCTGGGGGTGAATTCCATCTTTCACCCTCCATTTAGTTACTGGCACATAGTTGGGCTTGAGTGTGAAAGGATGAAATTCACTCTGTGTGTGTGTGTGTGTGTGTGTGTGTGTATAAAATGCATATGTGCAAACAGTTGAACTTTGTTTTCTTAGAGTTCTGAGTTTGGCAGGAAGCAAGAACAGCTTTATCAAGGGCAGCTGAGAAGGATATATCTTGATTTCATTGTAGCAAATTCAATGTTCATAGCCAACATTTCTGGATTTTTTCTAAGGATACGCATGCTACTGCAGTTATAAATTAGCAGCAGCTATTGGGCTAACTACTGTATGGCTTCACTTCTAACTCTGAAGTAAAGCTCCATACCTATTGTTTTCATTCACTGCACTATATCGCGTGGTTTAAAGGCCAAATCCTCCTCACCTGATTTATACAAGTAGTTCCCTTGAAATCAATAATACTGCTATGTGAATAAGGTGAGCAGGATTTTTCACTAGCATGTAAGCTCCTTGGTGGAGGAACGCTCGCTTACTTGTTTATAAAGTGCTATGTACACCTATGGCATGATATTAACAACAGATAATATTAAAGGCAAAATTACTTCAGAGATTTCACTTAAACAATGAATCAATAGTTTCATACTATTTCCCCATGGATATCCTGAATGACATAACTATCGTTCTGCACTTACACAACACTGGACACCAGTGATGGCTGAATAATCCATAGCTATAACTTTTATGATGAATTTTGCCTCTTTCAGTTTGCAAACTATGAACATGCAGCAATATTTTTGAATTCTTTTTGCTGAAATTATTTTCTGAATAATTTCAGCAAGTAATTCTTGGATTGTATTGTGGCTGAAATTTTTCAGACAAAACTCTTCATGCAAAGATGGCCTTTTTCAAAAATGATTTTCTTTTGTGAAAAAACTGTCAGTTGTCAAATTTGTTTTTATGAAAAATGCTGTGCTGCTTTAATTTTTTAAGAAAATATGTTGTGTGTTGTCAAAATGGTTATAGAAATGTTCACTTTCTTAAAATAACTTTTCAGAACATGAACATTTTAGATAACCATTTTGAAAAATGATGAATATATTACAAAAAATGCGTAATAGTTGCATTTTGAGCACATCAAAACAAAAACAAGCTCAACATTTTGAATTTTTTTACAAAATTATTTTCGGATTTTTTTGACCATCTCCAACTATAATTAATATTTGAAATTTGAGTTGTTTTGATTGGACATTTAGGTCACCTCGATGAATGAGGATGTCTGTTACTATCAGATTTTGAGTGAGAATTGTCATGTTTACCAGCTGAAAATTCAATTTCCATGAATACTCTATACTATTTGTTTAAATCTGTTTGTTCCAGTGAACATCCTGCAAGAATATTAACTGAAAGCACACTTGTGTGAAGGCAGTGAAAGCACATTGCTTTAATGATTCAAACAGAAAATATTTTTCAGTAATCTCCCTCCACTAGTATTCATAAAGGTTGGAGAGACGTGCTTCTGGATCTATTGTCCTCTCATTATATGCACAGGCCTGAGACAGGAGTACAGAAGAGCAAGCATGAGGAAGCAGGTTATGCTGTAGGAAGATAGGGTGACCAGATGAGAGGAAGAAAATATCGGGACACATTGGGGGGGTGCTGCCTGCGGAGCAAAAAGAAGCCGAGCGCTGCCCAGCGGAGCAAAAAACAAAACAAAACAAAACAAAAACCAGTGCTGCCGGCGGAGTGAAATATTGGGACGGTCCCGATTTTATCGGGACGTCTGGTCACCCTATAGGAAAAGGCCAGGGAAGGAAAGGGAATCCTACAGGGGAAAGGCATTTGTACCTAGACGGGGAAATTTAAATTAAGTAGTCAGATGTTTTGTAGTCTGAAGACCAAATTCTGCCCTGGGATCTGTGTGCCCAGCTCCCAGGCCCTGATTCAGGAAAGCACTTAAGAATGTACTTAACGTTTAAGAATGTTTTTGAGTCCCATTGACTTCAATCCCATACTTAAAGTTAAGTGTGTGCTTAAGGGCTGTCCTGAGTTGAGATGCTTTCCTGAATTGGGCCTCAGTGACTTCTTGGTTTAATAATGACTTCACTGGTAGCTCAACATATGAAACAAAGACTAGAATTTGGCTTATGTACATGTTGCTTCTAAATATTCTTGATTTTGCTGTGAGGATCTATTCTCCCCTTGAGAGATCCACATAACTGCTATTATACTTTCCTTCTGTTGCCCAAGAAAGAATTGACTGAGTATTTTTTGTGTTGTCCAAATTCTCCTCTGCTACACTGGTATAAATCTTGAGTAATTACATTTTCTGTAATGGGTGCACTGCGGTAAAAAGCAGAATTTAGCTCTAAGAAAGCAAAATGCTTTAAGTACCATATGTTGTGTTTAATTTTAATGATATACTGAGTGATGTGGAGATGGTAAACTTGCTTCTAGTCAGTAAGACAGTAGGAAAGGATTGTTTTATTGATATTTTCCATTATTCAATAAAATTACATATTTGCTATGGCAGACACTATAATTTATGAAAATTCTATTGGTGATAATACTGTCTAGTCCAATAATACTGTACCAAAATAGTATTGCTGTTAGTGCGTATATATCTCTACGAGTCCTAAGTAGAACTAAGGAGATATGCTGCACTTGTTTTAAAAAGAAAATGTTAAAGTATTTTAAGTACCTTTATCCTGAATACACATTTGATTTGATTTTTAGTTTTTGTTGCACACATTTTCTTTGTCTTGTATTTCACACACAAATTATATTTCATTGTAAGATTATATTAGATAGGGCTCTTTTAGTCAGGGGGAGTTATGTGGTTTTATTATATAATCCACATAAATGCCACCTTTTGGGGGCATGTATTTTATCTTTGGGCAGGTTGTGTTGTTTCTAAGACCTACAGTATTTTGATTTTCAATGTTATATTCACACTTGTTTAAATTCTGCCTTTCTGCCAGTAATAAACTGATTTTTAAACTGCACATATGTACAGTAAAATGTACATGCCAATACAGGTGTATAAAATCAGTGCAAAGATAGCACTCAAGCTGTAAATACACACACTTAGTATATTTTTTATATTTGTGTGTATATTTATGAATAGAGCCCTAAAAAAAGACACTTATAGCTTGTGAGGATGAGATAAAGATGTTAACATGATTCTTCATTTTTTAGGGCCAGACTCTCATCTCAGATGCATGGGCATGAATTGTTATGCAGCTCTGGTTAGCTACTACTGTTCTCATACCTACAGGTGCAAGAGCTTATTTTTTTTAATGTTGTTATAGGGAGCAATGACTCTGAGATTTGACGCTGGCCCCTATAAGTTGCGTAATGTCTTTATGAATAGAGTCTGAAGGGTGCAAACCAGGAGTCAAGACAAGAATGCAAAATCAGTTATTAAAACCCTCCTCCAAGTTAATTTGCCTATAAATTATCCGATTCCTTTCTGCCCAAATAAGAAAAAAAAGTATTTACATCTGTAAAAATCTTAACATCTGAGATGCTTCTTGCTTGACATGTCATTCCAGATTCTGTGCATTTCTTCTGGAGTTATTTGATGCACTGTGATCACTCTGCGATATCTACACAAACTGTAGGCCATCTTCCAGTGATTGAAGCCACTGTTTTGGAAAGGGTGAATGCCAAGCTTCCGAAGACAGAGTCCCACGTACACATCTTCCAGATGAAGAAGTCTGGTATGGAGGGAGGTTTTGTAAATCAGTTCTGCTACATCAGCTGAAAAAATGTAGCCAGTGCCTGAACAGAATGGTGGATAATTGCTGTCAGGATACAAATCTCTGGGCATGTACCATTTACTGCGGACATCCCTTATTGGTCCTCCATTGATGACATAACCAGTAAAGTACCTTCTCCTTGGCTTGGTGTTGGGTTTGAGCAGTTTATAAATAAGGTTATCCATATTTACAAAAATATCACTGTCTGTCTTCATAACATACTTTGCTTTTGGACAAAATGTGGCCACCCACCTCATACCCATTAACGTTTTAAGAGTAAGGTTATGATAAGAGTCAATGAAGTCCTCAACAATAATGTCGTGAAAAATTTGACTTTCTTGCTCTACCATCTGATTTAATACAGGATCTGCATTCTTCCCAAGAAGGAAGAGAGTGGCAATTTTAATGCCTTTAAAGTTGTTTTCGTCTCCCCAAGTCTCTCGAATTGCTTGTCTTGCATCAAATTCTTTGTGAGTCGTGCTGATCAAAATGACTAGGAAAGGGATGCTCTTCTCACACTTATTAGGCTCATTTATAAGGAAATCAAATGAATGTGGATTTATAGGTCGAGTTCTTATATTACCAAAGGAGACATTTTTCCTGGCTATCGATATGGTATTGAAGTGTCTGTGGCCAGTGTAGGAAGAAGTAGGACGAGTTATACTTAAATACCAAAGAGCACTTGCCCAACAAACTACTGTCAGAACATATAAACATGAGACCTTTGAAGCCATTGTTTCTGTAGCTCCTCTATTCAGTATAGTGAATAAATAGCCCTCTTACCATTAGCATCTCTGTATCCCGCAAAGGCAGCATATTATTAACAAACCTTAAAGTTCGATATAGAAAAATAACTGTGTAATTGTTCATGGATCTCAGATGGAGGATATTAACCCTGAAGATACTTTTTTCTTTCTTTCTTTGTATAGTAGCAGCTTCTATTTCTTGGTATTTTCATTTATCTCTGAAAAATATGAGAAAAAGATTTCCATTGCTATGTCATATATTCTTGAGGACAATTATTATGATAGAAGAGTTATCATTCTCCTGAATTTTATTTCATGAAGTCCTTTGATACAACACACTGTAGTGGAATATACCCCTCCTGGACGAACATGTTTATGATATATACAGGCTAATAATTCATCTTGTATTATATCCAATTGAAAAGACTGTTACTGTATTTTAGGTCATCAGTAAAATTTAAAAGGGATTTGCTGGGAATTCATCTCCTTCTTTTGGACTACCACAATCTAGCATAATATTTTAAGATAAATTATAATGCATTTTACATTAAAATATAAGATAAAATAGAAATTAAGTAAATGAAATATTAAAATATAAATATAAATAATAAATTAATATTTGCTTACAGTCTTCTTTAATAAGGCACACATGTCTTGTAGGACAGAATTAGTGGAGTATGGGTATGGATATCTACAAACCCAGTTTTAATACAAATTGTACTAATATGTGCCCTGGCAACAATTAAAATTAAATTAAGCAGGTTTGGACTAGAATCCTGTTCCTAAGCACAATAACCATAATAGGGAAGAATATGCTGTCATAAAACAACCCATAATAAATCCATGTAAAGATCTGAATACAAATATAGTAGAGACAATGGAGGAAGATGTGATTATAGTTCTTTTCTAAACAAACAGTGCAGTAGCTTTCTGCAGCATTGCTCTAGCTAATACTGTGCCTCATCTACCGTAAATATTGCCCCAGTATATGCTTATGGTGATTGTATTTTCAAAACAATAAACTGAGACACTGTTATGGTAAAAATTTTTGAAAGGTTGCAAAATATTCATGCGAAAGTACACTTTTTTTAAAAAAAAGTGCTGGTTTTGCTACTGTCTGTTACTGACTCAACAGACACGTGCATATTTATTGGAGGGGAGAATTTTTCCTGCAACATAGGCTATTCTACAATTACAGGTGCATGTAGACTACAGACACTACACATGTAGCTACATGCCACAGGGAGGCAGGCTGCGTCCACACTTGTCACTGTGATGTGTAGCTACATGTCACAGGAAAAGACTTCAGCAGTGGAGACCTGCAGGAGCCTTTCTCTGCTGCTGCAGCCTTTCTTTGCTGTGTGTAGCTACACATAAGTGTAACACAGCCTGCCTGCCTGTGGCGTGTAGCTACTTGTGTACTGTCTCCCCACTGCAGTGGGAAAAGACTTAAGCAGTGGGGAGACAGTGGGACACTAAACTGAAGGCACAGCTGTGTAGGGATATACCTTAGGGCAGGGTTCTCAACCTTTTTTCTTTCTGAGAACTCCCTCAACATGCTAGAACAACTCCAGGGCCCAGCGGGGGGGTGGGGGGACTCGGGGCTCCGGGCCAAGGTGAGAATCCTTGGGCATAGGCGTGGTTTGACTTCAATTTTTTTGGGCGGGGGGCAAGGGCTGGCGGGGCTCTGGCCAGCTCTGCACAGCGGGGTCCAGGAAGGGAGCGCCACCTCCACCCTCTGACTCACCTCAGCAAGCCACCCACCTATCTGGGGCTGTGTGCCGGTGGCTGCTCCCCCAGGGCTCTGCTGGGCTGGAGCCACCCGGGCAGCTCTGACTGGCTGCGTGAGCAGTCAAAGGAGGCTGGGAGCTGAGGAGCAGCCACAACCCTGGCGGGCACCAGCAGCAGATTAGGGGAATGCCATGGCCGCCCACTCCATGGCACCGCCAGCCAGAGGAGCCGCTGCCCTGCGCTGCCTGGCTCCGGCTTCCCGCCTAGGACCTGGCCAGAGGGTGAGGCCTGAGGGGGGCTGGGGGAGAGGAGGAGGGGGAGGAGTGGAGCTTCCCCAAGACTGCCCCACACTTCAGTTGGGGGGGGCAACACCCTTGTGCCCCTTCAACTTGGCCCATGGGCTCAAGCTTTCTGCCTGCGTTGTGATTTCAGCCCCGCTCCGCTCCTGGCGGCAGCTGGGGGGGGAGAACTCAGGGTTTCAGCCCCATGCTGCTCCTGGCTGCAGCCCCACAGGGTGAGGGGGCACCAGGACTTGGGGCTGAAACCCCGCACTGCTCCGCACTTCAGCCCAGTGGGGGGGCCCCGGGGCTCAGGGCACCGGGTTTCAGCAGCGGGGCCCTACGGACCCCTGCAAGGCTCGCGGACCCCAGTTGAGAACCGCTGCCCTAGGGCTCAGGCTTGTAGGGCACTCTACACTACTCTGCTGGCCTAAGCAGTGTCTACACTGCTAACTGGATGTGCAGTGACTGTACTCTATACACTGCCATAAATGTAGATGTAGCCTCAGTGTTTTGAATGAATGTATCATAGAACACTGAATAAGTGCTGTTAACATTCATTTTGAGCAAAAGAACAGCTTTAATAGTGTCTATGCTCATTTTGGGGGCCCAGAAAGAAGGTTCTGGGAAAACTGGGATGGTTCCGGGAAAATTGGGCTCATGTGCTACTGAATTCAAAATGTTGCCCTCTGATGCACAGGTGCAGCTGTGTTTGAAGTAAACTGAGGTTGTGTGCATATTAGTTGTGTGGCAATCCCCTTCCCCCCCCCCCCCCCCCCCCCCCCCCCCCCCCCGCCCCCCATGGACTTTCCTAAAAGAAGCAGATGGATACAGCAAAAATAAAGAGGAAAAATGTCACTATAACCCTATCTTCAGATTAGGAAATTTCTTTTAACCAGGAAGTGGAAACAAAGACCGTATTGCCTTGCCCTACAGCATTCTTGCTACAGAGTACACATGGGTAAGTGAAAGGTTAACAGAAGCCTGAGAGACCAATTAGCCCACCTGATTACACCTGGAAACTGTGTCAGACTCAATTTCTTATCAAACCCAGCTGGGGAGGAGGTAAAGGAAGGAACTCAGAGTGGGAGGAGAGACCCAGGAGAAGAGGGGTTTTGAGTTCCCTATCTAAGGGAAAGGAACTAGGAGGAAGTTACAGCAATAGAGCTAGCCCTGTGGTGGGCACAGAAACAGGGGCAAGGCCCCAGGGAGGTAGCCCTTTGGGTTGGCATTCTGAAAGAGGAACAAGGAGCTGGGGAGAACAGAGAAACTGAAAGCACAAACCCAGGGGGGCGGTGGCATGGAAAGCAGTGGCCTAAGATGTTTGTTTTATTTGGGGAGTTTGAGTTCTGCTGAGAGATGCTGGGCAGAAGCCCAGAAACCCCTGACTCTGAGAAGAGTGAGATTGAAGAGGAGCCCAGGAGGGCTGGAAGATTTCAAGTTAATGACTAGTACTGTGAAGGCCACAGTTTATTTGGGATACTGATACACCAGAAGGGGTGAGGATGTACATAACTTGGCTCTAGGGTTGAGTCCCTAGTAGAACCAGACCACCCCAGGACCCCAATGGTCATTGGAAGGAGGGGACTGAAGGGAAGGTCCTGTAATGCTGCATCCAGCCATGAAGGGGTATGCTGATTGGTGAGTTCTCTCTTCTACGCAGATACAAAACCTCCACATGAGAAAGTGTTTTTTGTAATCAAGATCATTTATTTGCTCAAGTTATGGAGTGAGTTAAGGAAGAAGTGGCAGGTTCAAATTGGAATTTACTTTGTATAAGCCCAACTTCTAGTATTTTAGTATTAGGTTTTGCTTCTTCTATTACTGATATTTTGTTTTTCATAATAAAACACAACTTTTGTACTGTGCATGGGAAATAAAAATGGTAACATATTGAGAAAACAATAACAGTGTTATTGTACTGGCTAGAGTGTAATGTATCACTGGAGGTGCTCTCTCTCTTCTCAAGTGGTCAACCTGTATGTTCAAGCCTGTTCCAAAGCCCATTGATTTTAATGGGTTTTAGAGCACAAGGGCGAACATGCTGAATAGTCGTGTTGTGCAGCGTAGCAGCAATCCTGACTCCATGAGGAGCCTTGGATTTGTCACAATATTCAAGATCTTCCCTTATTAATCAATAAGCTAAGTATACAGGAGCAATCTTTTAAAATATGGCCTCAGTTTCATATGCACAAACAATGCACCACAATCATCTGGGCATGCAATTTTTGAGCACCCCCAGTGGTGAATGCAGTTAGCGTTTACATGCATGAATCCCATAGTGGCATTAGTGAGAGTTAGCCCCTCCACTCTCACTAGTTTGCTAAATTCAGTAGAATTGTGGGAGCCCATACAAAACTGAAAAAATAAATCCCTAATCCAGCAAGATTTCTCAGGACTTTTAATCAGCTCTGGCTGAATTGGGATCAATAGGCAACGACTACAATTTATTATTATTATTTTTTAAAAGCTTGTATTAACTACCACTTTGAGACCAACATACAATTCAAATTAGGATATGTGATGCTGTGTTGTGATATGAAGATTTTATAAGTATGAATTTGGGATGCCATGAGTGAGCTATATAGTTCAGTGTAGGTCAGTTGTGCAATCATGATACATCAAATTTTTATATTGCACTATACCAGCGGATATTCTGTATATGCTACAGAAAGTGGTTTAGGAAATTTTATAGTAGATTGGGTTATGGCTTTCCTTATCCCTTCTCTAATAAATATAGGCACATTAGTTACCACACGTAGCTGTACAGATTTCTGAGGGAGAAGAAAATTAACTAGTACATTTTAGAAACTGTAAAATTGCATAAAATAGATTTTTCAATCCATTATATTGTGATTTTAAGGTCCCATATATTTCATGATCTAGCAGGGCTAGAAACTACAAATGTCTCATACCAGTAGGAAGAGAGATTCTTAGCTTTCTCATTGGGGTAAAATTTTCATTAGATATCGGATCTTAAAGCCAGCACTCATCCAAGAATGATTATTTCCCATCCTGGCCCTTGG